ATGAAATGAGAAGCAAGGAGGGGAAAAAAGAAAAAGATTCGAGAACAAAAATGCCGCCAAAATTTAAACAATCACGGTTACTATTTTATCTCAACAATGAGATGGAATAGCTTAGCGAATAGTTTATATAAGTTCTCAACGATTTCTATTTCCCTCTCTCTTCCTCTCTCTCTCTCTTTCTCTCTCTCTTTCTTCTCCTACTCTTACAACTCAGCCCCTCTTTCTAGCTTTTCCTTATTTTTTTTATTTTTGCTTTGTTTGCATTTTTCTCATTGACTTTTGTACTTCTCTTTGATATTTATCTATGATATAAAAGTAATCTTGCATTTTCTACACGTCTACACATTTCTTATTTTTAAAAATGTTACGTGATATTTTTATTAAGACTACAAATGGTGTATTGTTTATTGATAACGTGAAATCGATTATAATGTATCGTTGGAGTGTATATTATATATAAGTAAACAAGAATTTTACATAAAAATATAATGATTAATATAACTGACGTATAAATACTTTATAAATTCGGCGCTTGACAGAAAAATCCTAGGTAGTACAGTGGCCAGTATCCCCGCCTGTCACGCGGGAGACCGGGGTTCGATTCCCCGCCTGGGAGATTTTTTATTTTTATTTATTTATTTATTTATTTTTTTATTTTTATGAACGATTATTACAGCAGTATCATCAATATCATCACCATTAAAGTTTACAAATTGATAATCCCAACAGCAGTAAATACACCGAAGTTGTGTAGTTGTTTAATTATAATAAAATGATTGAATTAGAATACTTTATATTTTCTAAATATATGAAAATTTGAAATCTAGGTCAATATTTTATTACAGTATACTCAAAATAAATGTTTTCTTTCGAGCATCGGTGGTTCAGTGGTAGAATGCTCGCCTGCCACGCGGGCGGCCCGGGTTCGATTCCCGGCCGATGCAAATCCTTTTTTTTCTTTTTTAATTTTCCTTTAATAATTATATTTGTATACATCATTGTTAGAATATTTATTTTATTTGCCCATAAATACATACAATATCATTTAATTAATATTTATTCGCATAAGTAAAAAACAAAGACAAAGAAAAGAAAAACTAAATTTTATATTTGAAATATGGATTGTAGGATTTGATATCATATGCACACGTATATAATTAGATTGGTCCCTGCAACCAACTTTGTCGAACATTGAAATAGGACAACGTAGTGGAATTCGAAATATCGAAATTATGTATATACATCAAAATTATGTACATTTAAATGTACATTAAATATAGATGTATCATCACATACAACGTTATATAATTATAGTTTTATAACATTTGTATATAACACCAATGCTCGATAATTTCTATGAAAATTGCAATAACACGGTTCGAATAATCTCTGTGCGATTTCATCCTAAGATTTGTATCGTTTTTCAAAATAAGATTATTTGAACAAAAGCTCGCGTGTAACGTGCTTTAGTTTATTATTAGATAAATAATCAAATGGAGTTAATCTTTTAAAGCTTATAAGCATTGCGCATCATTAAATCGAAATACGCATCGTGATCGATACTCGCACTTATCGCACTATAGTAATTCATAAATTCTTCCGCAGTGACCTGAGAATTAAAAGAAAAAATTAATTAATTAATTAAGTAATTAACTAATTGATTAAGCGAAAGAGGCAGGGATATTGTAATTACTTATACGAAGAACTTACTATTCCGTCTCTCGTTGCGTTTTGTTCTAAATTTCCAAGAAATTTTTTCAATATACTTTCCTCGCTTTCCTCGCCACTTATATAACGTGGATGACATTTCACATTGTATACTCCTTTTAAATCGTCTATTGTTATTTCTCCGTCACCAGTTTTATCTAATTTTTGAAATGCCTGTTCAACAACTTTTTTTCGATTTGAAGACATTGTAGGCTACGAAAATAATAGATTTATATAAAATCGGTTCAGCAATTAATATGTTCAATTTTTGTAATACTCAAAAGGATTCTTACTCTCACCGCGACGATGAATTCATCGACGCTGAGATTTCCATTTCCGTCGGTATCGAATTTTTGAAATATCTCATTTATTTCATCATCCGATATTTCCAAACCACTCTCTTTCAAACCTTTCGTAAATTCCTCCAAGTTTAATTGCTTATTGCCGTCATCGTCCATACGACGGAATATTCTGAAGACGGTAGAAAAAAACATTCAATATTAATTCTTCTTTGTTTTTACTTTTTTTTTTTTTATCGCGATAACTGCAAATTTTTTTTTTTGACGGATCAATTGACGATTTAAGGAAAACCGTAAAACGAAAATTTATGCTACACATTTTGCAGTAATAAGCACTCCTAGGAATATTAAATAAAAGCATCTAGTAACCCTAGTAATAAAAGCTCGGATGAAAGAAAATTTTCAATACTATTATAGGTACTACATTGAAGAAAGAATTTCATTTATTATAATGAGTCTAGATTGCGTTATAGAACAACGATGGATGAATCATTTCGATTACAGCAAGAACAAAAAAAAAAAGATAAAAACACCGTTTAGTCATCTGAAATACTAAATATGAAATCTCGTGGCTTTTAATCCTTCTCGTTGCATGAAAATATCTGTCGGTTATTTTAAATAATACGATTTTTGTTAAATCTGCAATTTTTTTTCATTGATGATATAATTGAAGAGAAAACAAAATCAAAAGTTATTAAATGTAACTTACCTGCCAAGGCCGAGGATACCATTGGCACCTCTAGTTAGACAGAGCAAACGTAACTTCTCGATAGAATCCGTGGTTGTATGTATGGCCCTCTGGGCCTTATTAATCATTTCAGTCTCTTGCCTCGTAGTCGCACTCTGAGGTCTGTTGAACATGTCTGGAAGAGAGGGAACGATCGTGTGAATCATTGTGACTCAGATAAAGAACATGGAGGAGGGAGAATACAACAAGAGAAAATAAATTCAGTTTGTAAATCGAGCCTTTAAAGGATTTTCGTGATGTTTTCTTTTTTCTTTTTTTCTCTCTCCCTCTCTTTTTTTTTGTTTTTATATATTCAAACATAATGTATAACGTATATATTATATCGACGTATGGTTATCTTTGTGTAATATGCGCGATAAAGTACGATCAATAAGTATCCTTTCGTTTATTTATTTGTTGAAGAAAATGTGCTCTAAAAATAGAATCGAATAGTAAAAATGAATAAGAAAAAAATAATAATAATAATAAATAAATAAATAAAGGAAAAGAAGACAATGAAATTTTTATAAAATTGTTAATTTAGATACGTTGAGAGATATCGATAGTAATTGAGAATAGAAGTAATTCGGGGTGATAAGGAAAACTGAAAAGTTTCTTTTTCGAATAGATTTAAATTAAATCGATAGAAAACAATATCTAACGACAAATACTACATAAGACAACTCACAATATATTTTCTTTCTTTTTTTAAACCTCTATTTTTTTTTCTTTTTTTCTTTTTTAAGGAGGTTTCAGATAATTTATAGTAGTCACATCAACAAATGGAAACGTTCGACTCGAAGGACTGGCGGGGTTAGACTAGTAAACAGCAGATAGTAGGAAATGATTCCTTAAATATTTAAGAAACGTTCAATGTCAGTCGTCTTGTTTTATCCAAGGATAAGTTTCCTATGTAAGACAATATATGTCTAATCTGTCTGATATATATATAGTCTAACATTGGATTTTTCTTCTTTTTTTTTTTTCGATTCCACCAATTAACGATCGGTGAAGTTCGACTCACCAAAATTTTCAGAAAATAATGTTTCCTCTGGCGAACGGAAGTCGTCTTCGTCTTCTGTTTATCGATCGCTATGATCGTAATGGCTGAGGGTTATAAATGACTAAAGGGAAAATATAAAATGGGTAACTTCTCGGAAGAAGAGCGGAAGGCAAGTGACAATGTTCGAATTCATCGACGCGTATCGTCGCATCCTATAGTTCAAACACACATATTGCTCGAGTAGGCGCGCACGCAGAACGGCTACATTCTCGCATGTTGCTTCTACTCGAAAAGGAGCTTTGTTTGACATGTGTGGTCTATAACTATGTGTACGCTTGCAGGTCTTTTGCCGATAGAAGACGTATCCATAACGACGAATGTGTCACAACACGCATATTCGTATGAACAAAAAAGAAAGAAGAAAAAAAAAGAAACAAATTTGTCGAATTTATATATGGAATCATTTATTTATTTGCTTCACGTTTTTCTTCTTTTTAGAACTTTGAATCTCTTTCTAAAGTAGTTTCATTATTCTAATAACAATTATTTGGATTGTAAAGTATTTTTTGAATAAATAACATGATCATTTTTGTTATTAGTGGATTAGTTTATATATTTAATTTTTGATACTTGCTGATAGATATACATACCTTACATAGCTTATAGATGTATTTGACTTAATGTAGATGTTAATTCATGACATAAAATATTTAAAAAAAGTAATCGATACGTTGGTATTATATTTTTATGTTTTTATCTTAAATCAATTATAACTAATCCATGATCTGCATAAGATCCGATTACTACATAGCTAGAAGAGATAATGATATCAATATTTTAATTAGAAAATTATATTATCGACACACGATAAATTATATTGAAAAGTTATCAACAGTCCAGTTGAAAGTTACTTTACCGACAGCTGCTAACTTCTTACACACACATGCTGATAATAAAGAGAATATTTTTCTCCTTTCAATTAAGTGTAGCAAAGCTCTCTCTTATTCCTTAATATTTAAATCACTTTCAAAGAACTATTGAAAACAATTTCGGAAATAGTATATATTTTCAATTTTTTTTAACAATTCAATTACTTCCTTAAACTGAACATTCTCGAAATACATAAGTAACGACTATGTATTCCCGAGCGACGAATTAAAATACGACATTTGGAAGAATTGCCAAGAGTTTCTCTGTGATTGGTCTATTTCTATTGCGTGGTCTCACGCGATTGGTTTTTGATTATTTACTTCTCTTCTCTATATGATGATGTCGAGTTGGATTCTGTGACAGTCGGTGAAAAATAGTGGTGCGAAGCGTTTGTGATATATTTGGTAAAGCGTCATCGCTTTAACTAATATTCTTTGTAGAACTCGCGCAATAGTTATGCAAAAATTATTCATATTTTTAACGGCCCTGATACTTTTAGCAGGTAATTTTTATATTTATTAAAAATATATTTAATGGCCTTTAAACAACAAGATCTGTAAGTTTTATTTTTATTTTCTAAGGGCTCGTTAGGGCTGAAGATGAAACAGAAGATAAAATTGGAACTGTAGAAAAAGATCTTGGATCTAATCGGGAAGGATCACGTACCGGTAAGACACTCATTTATATTTTATACAGTTTTATATAATACGCTTTGTGTATTCTTTTGTTATTCTATCCTCACCATCATTTACAAATAAATTAATTCAATTTAAATTGAAACAAACATGTACATCCTTTTAATTTTTAAATTACATATCGTTTGCAGATGATGAGGTTATTCAAAGAGACGAGGAACGTATAAAATTGGATGGATTAAATGTAGCTCAGATAAAGGAACTTAGGGCTAAGGCAGAGAAATTTACGTTTCAAACAGAAGTTAATCGCATGATGAAACTTATTATAAATTCACTCTATCGTAATAAGGAGATCTTTCTCAGAGAATTAATATCTAATGCATCCGATGCTTTAGATAAGATCAGATTGTTGTCCCTTACTGATAAAAATGTTTTGAACGCCAATCCTGAACTAGCTATCAGAATAAAGGCCGATAAGGAAAATAAAATATTGAGCATAACAGATTCTGGTATAGCCATGACCAAATCTGATTTGATCAATAATCTTGGAACAATTGCTAAATCTGGTACTGCTGAATTTTTGGGTAAAATGCAAGATGTAAAAAATGCACAAGACATGAACGATATGATTGGTCAATTTGGTGTTGGATTTTACTCTGCCTTTTTGGTTGCCAATACGGTAGTTGTCACTACTAAACATAACGATGATAAACAATACATTTGGGAATCTGACAGCAGTAGCTATAATATCGTTGAAGATCCTAGAGGAGATACACTTAAGAGAGGAACAACAATAAGGTAAAAACTGAACAAAATTTTTTTATTCTTATAAATTGTTTGTAACATATAATATGCAGGAAAAATTTCTTTTATATTATAGTTTGCACATGAAGGATGAAGCGTTGGATTTCTTGGAAGAAGATACTGTTAGGAATTTAATTAAAAAGTATTCCCAATTTATTAACTTCCCTATCTATCTTTGGAATAGCAAAGTTATACAAGTGGACGAAGAAGATGATGAATCTAAACCAAAAAAAGAAGAAGACACTGAGAAAGATACAGAGGATAAATCTGAAGAAGAAGAAGAGGATGTTAAAGTAGAAGAATCATCAGAAGATGAGAAAAAGACCAAAAAGGTAGATAAAACTGTTTGGGATTGGGAACTTTTAAACGAATCTAAACCAATTTGGACTTTAAAACCATCAGAAGTCGATGATAAGGAATACAATGAATTTTATAAAACATTAACAAAAGATACGCAAGATCCTTTGGCAAAGATCCACTTTGTTGCGGAAGGTGAAGTCACATTCAAATCTCTTTTATTCATTCCTAAAGTCCAGCCCAGTGACAGTTTTAATAGATACGGTACAAAAGCAGATAATATTAAGTTATATGTTAGGCGTGTATTTATTACCGATAAATTCACAGATATGATGCCTAATTATTTGTCCTTCATACGTGGTATCGTAGACAGTGATGATTTGCCACTTAATGTGTCGCGTGAAAATTTGCAACAGCACAAATTAATTAAGGTCATTAAGAAAAAGCTTATTAGAAAAGTTCTAGATATGATAAAGAAAATTTCGAAGGAAGATTATGAGAAATTCTGGAAAGAATATAGTACAAATATTAAATTAGGTGTTATTGAGGATCCTCAAAATCGTGCCAGATTATCGAAACTTTTGCAATTCCGTTCTTCGACTCAAAAGGGAACTACTTCATTGGCGGATTATGTATCGCGTATGAAACCTAAGCAACAGCATATTTATTATATTGCTGGAACTTCTGAAGCAGAGGTAGAAAAATCTCCGTTCGTTGAAAGATTGAACAAAAAAGGATACGAAGTTTTGTATTTAACAGAACCTGTTGATGAATACACTATTTCTGCTTTTCCTGATTTCGATGGAAAGAAATTCCAAAATGTTGCCAAGGAGGGTTTCCAATTGGATGAAGGTGAAAAAGCTAAAGAAATACAAGAACAATTACAAGCAACGTTCGAACCTTTGCTCAAATGGTTGAATGATATTTTGAAAGATTATATCAGTAAAACACAGGTCTCTGAACGTCTAACAGATTCACCGTGTGCTCTTGTTGCGAGTATGTTTGGATGGACAGGAAATATGGAAAGATTAGCGATCTCCAATGCTCATCAAAAGTCTGATGATCCACAGAAAACTTATTACTTAAATCAAAAGAAAACTTTAGAAATCAATCCAAGGCATCCACTTATTAGAGAATTACTACATAGGATTCAAGTTGATCCGTCTGATCAAACTGCAAAAGACATAGCTATAATGATGTTTAGAACAGCAACTCTTCGATCAGGATATATGCTGAAAGAAACTGCTAGTTTTGCTGATAGCGTGGAACAGCTTATGAGGAAAACATTAGGTATTTCTTTGGACGAAGTACCAGAAGAAGAAGAAATTCAAGAGGAAGATACTGTAAGTTCCACAGAGACGGAACAAGTAACAGAAGTTGATGCGGAGGAGGAAAAAGAAGAGGAGGAGGGACATGACGAACTCTAAATAAGTGCAGCCGTGTATAATACAAAAGACTTATTCTAGTTTTTCAGCTATACAATGTATAGCGATATTGTGCACTCTATTACCGTTGCAAATGTTATTGCAAACTTATAAACCATTTAGATATGAACAGGATTATGTTAAAATGATAAAATCCGAGATTTTTTATAATTTATAGCACTACAATCATTTCGAATAGATATGTGTATTTAATGGAGGATGATTACACATATATATTATGCTCTTTGAAAAAAAAAAAGAAAAAAAAAATTATACTACAAAAATATAATTCATTCTCATCAAGAAATAAGAGGCAATTTCTATTTGGATAAAAAGTTGAAAACTTTATTAAGTATCTTATTCACTTAGTTTGATCTTCCATTTTATTTGTAGTATCTTAAAAGAAAAGAGCATTGACTGAATATTATTAGTACGGTATGTATGTGACATGTGCGTATGTCTCTCTTTGTATACGTGATATATATTGACAAAAAAAAAAAAAGAAGAAAAAAAATTAACGAAAGACAAACATATTTTGTTTATTTTCTCACATTCCTACAGTGTATAACTTCATGATCTATATTATAAAACTCAAAAAAAAATATATTTCCATTTTATTATTATACGTAAAAATCAGGTTCAAATAAATATCTAATTTATATATATAAATATATATAAGAAAGTAAAAATAAAAAAAAAAAAGAAAATAAGACATTATTTCGTTCGACAAAATACAATTTTTATTCTAAATAAATTCATAATGAAAAACCAAATACGAAGAGGAAAATAAAAGATTTTCAAATGATGTTACGGAATCGACTTCCGGCCGCCATTTTTACTTACTCGATTCGAAACACCAATCTTATTTGAGCATTCTCATGGAATCGGGACGTAAAGCGTAAGACATAGGAGCGCGGTCAAGTGCTCATTTCCGTTTTCGAATCCTACGTCACCTACTCTGAAAGCCCGTGTGTTTTGTGTTTCTTTGGGGCCATGATGATTCTCGCTAATTTAACGTAAGTACTTTTAATCTAAAGCAAATCGAAGAGTAATCCTGTTAATAAGGTGATTTCGCGCGGTCTCGTTCGTAAATAAGAATTGGTCACGAATCCGCGCGAATACCTTTCATTTATCTTAACTACTAGATTAATATAAAGGATATATCCTTTGGTCTTTCGCCATGCCGGTTTATAGGATCCTTCTTTTTTTCCTTGAACACGCTCCTTTCACAATGGAATCATTGAAAATTATAAATTTCATCTAAATTGACGTTTATCGCGTCAAAAAATTATCAATTTATTTCTTAAACACTATCGTAAGTGTATAAACTTTCCTATGCTGGTATAAACAAAGTAAATGGCGTCGACATATTTCGTTGTTAATTGTGACAAATTTTTTTTCTCGAGAGTTCTCTAATAAAGAAGCAAACTAGAAAATCTTAGTATTTTTTTTTGGGACACATCACGCGACCGATCATATTTATTATATCCTTCTTTCATCTTCATTACGACGTATAAATAATGTTCAACAAATTTCTGCACGTTAATAAAAAATTCTTGTGTTGATATGTTTGTAACCTGTCAGACATAATTAATGCATAATGAATTTGAGTCTTGTAGTATATTATATATTAAAACGAATAAATGTGAAATTTTACTTTGTGTGAGTGCATGCGTGTGTGTGTGTGCGTGTATTTGATTGAAGATGATGTCACATCAAATTAAATTTAAATAATTGATTAACCAAGTCTATCGTTCTCTTACAGATTCAAACTGTTGAATTTGAAACTACACTTCTTGAAGTCATAAAACTAATAAAAAATTTAAAAATTCAATTCAAATTGGAACAGCTATTATTATAATATAAGTAGATACAAACAAAAAAAAACAGTAATATTACTATATACAAAAAAAAAATACAACAAATAATAAATATACATCATAAACTTATTATCATAAAGAAAAGAAATAATATCTTTGAAAGATGGGTATTCAAGACTTGCAAGCTTTTCTGGATAGTAATTGTATACCAGGTGGATCGGTATCGGTAGATTTATTAAAAATAGCACGTACTGTTACTCAGCGACAACGCAATCGTGTTTGTAAAGTTTTATCGCCACATTCAACTGCAAAACTAAGACTAGTCCTTGATGGAGAATGTTGTTTAGATAGACTCTATGGCGGTTATTTCTCAGGTCAGTATTTGATGTTTTTTTTTATTTAATAATACGATCCGAAGGTTTAGTTTATTTTATCATTTTGAAACTAATGTGATTTTCTAACAGATTGGGCTTGTGGCGGACAATGGAATCGTATGGTACAATTTCTAGCAGTGCTTATACAAGCAACAGAAATGTCAGGTTTAGAATTAGCTGTCTTTTTTAATGGTTGTTTTGAAGCTTCTCGTCGTGCAGACTGGGTTCAAAATCAGTTGCAAGTGAGGATCAAAGTAAATAATGTAAGTTCTGCCTTTATGGTATAATATATTATTTTTTCCTACCTTTGTTAATTATATCTTTGTTCGAACAATTGTATCATGTTTATAGGTCATCAAACATATTACAACCAAAGGAACTCCACCACCAAAGATTTGGTGGACACCACCTGTATGTTTAAGAACCAGTTTACGTATGGCGCTTAGATATTTTAATGTTGCAGTTGTAAGTTGATTATTTATATCAAGTATATGTAATAAAAAGTAAAAATTAATGCAGTTTATATAACTGTAGTTGTGCAGTATGGATGATCATCATCAAGAAGTCATTGCTTACTGTCGGGAAAATAATTTTAATGGTTTAATAGCCGATGATGCTGAGTATGCTGCATTTGATCCACCTAGATACTTCTCTTCAGAACAATTAAAACTTACATATAAGGTTAGTATAATGTATGTATATATATATATATATATATATATATATATATATATATATATTAATTTTTTGTTATATATTTCATCATATGTTTATTCTTATCTATTTTAAGGGTTCCCTTGATACAAAAGAATATATAATTCCTGAACTTTTAAAAGCCTTAAATATCCCAGCAGATAGACTATGCTTATTGGCAGCATTACTTGGGAATTATATCTTAACGGAAAATAATCTTCTTGACTTCTACAAAAAACTAAATATAAATGCAAACACTAATAAGACTAGTATTGAACAAACGATAAAAATAATTGCTAATTTTGTTAGAGAACTTCCATCTGTTGAGTTAGATGTAGTATCGCAGAAAGTATTTGGATCTCTATCTGATCCAAGGTGTTCCAAATTAAGGCAATCTGTACAGTACTATATAAATGGTACAAAAGAAGGATTTTTACATTATAAGCCCGTAAAACCAACTAAAGGTAAAGTAGTAATATTTTCAAATTTTATATATACATAGAATGTGTATTACAATAAACACATTTTATAGCTCACAAGATAGATTCCAAGCAAAATTTACAAACACAGTCAAACTTATCTGATGGACCATCAACTTCAGAGGGTGATAGTAGTTTGGAAACTTCTAGATTTGCTTCTGAAACGTTAGAAAGTGAACGTGAAAGCTTAAATGCGTACAAGCAAGCAACGGCAAATGCAAAGTCAGCACCACAGATAGTGATAGATCCACCTGGTATCCAAGGTCATGGAGATGCTGAAAATGCCAGATCTGAGGAGGAACAAAGTGAATATCAATTCAATGTTATATCAACCAAAATATATTTTTATATTTATATATGACAATTGAATTTATTTAATCCATGCAGGTAATGGTCATGCTATAAATGGTACTCATAATCTTTTAATAAGTTCATCAAGTTCAAGTAGCAGTTCTTCGGCTACATCTCCATCGCATGCTACTACAGATTCAACAAAACAAATAGAAAAGACAACTACTAGTATTCCTAGTACAGTACCAGAAGTTATGCGTACAGCGTCTGAAAGACATCAGAAAGGTCTAATGTCTCCTCACATATATCAAATTCTTATAGCTGGTGAAATTAAATTGCCAGTTCTTTTAGAGGATGAAAATCACAGAGAATTTCCCTCTATTCATCTGATTTATAGACCAGTAAGACAAATGGTATATGCAATTCTTTTTAATTTACACCATCGGATGTATTTAGCAACTAAAAGTAAAGAAAAAGGTGGTACGTATATGTACATATAAATATTATTATATGTGATATAACATTTATATATGATTTAACATGCATTTGTTATATTTTCTGAACTTTTGTAGATAGTGAAAAAATTGAAGTTCCGGACGTAATAATAAAGGAATGGGTATGGTCGAAGTCGAATCCATATCAAACTCCAGAATTAGTAAAAGCAGAACAAATTGGTTGGGGTGTTCCGACAATTCAACGTTTGTGGTTTGGGTTAGTTTCTTTTGTTAATTATATATATATATATATATATATATATATATATATATATATATATATATATCACAATAATTATTTTATAAGTGTTATTTGAAAAATCTGTATTGTTTTATTTATAGCACAGGAATAGATGACAAACGTCGCCGATTAAGAGGATTTTTGACTTGCATGAGGTCAGATACACCTCTTATGTTAAATACGGCTTATGTACCTCAACATTTTTTAGTTATGGCTTGTGTTTTACGGTGAGTACATATGACGTTTTAAAAGCTGATTTATTGTATGTTCGACATTTTTTCTTTTTTTAAATTTTCTTGCTTTTTATAGATACATTATGTCTTTCTCTGATAAAATAAAAATTTTGCGACGTCAAGAATTAGATGCTTTTATTGCACAGGCCTTTTCTCCAGAATTAATGAATGCTCAATATTTACAGGACTTACAGGTAATACAACAATATTGTTCATAGTATAACATTAAATGCAGCTGTAATAAAGTATCGTAAATTTAATTGGAAAATAAAAAAATAATTATTTTACAGCTTCCTTTAGTAACTTCTCGTGGTGTTCAACTTGCAAGCTTATTTATGGCAGGTGTAGAAACTGCTCTGTTAGCAAATGATGCTTGCGGTGCTCCAATACCTTGGCTAATGTGTTGTCCTTGGTTATATTTTGATGGAAAATTATTTCACCATACATTAGCACGAGCTACTATCGCGAAAAATTTATTAGAATTATGCAGTGGTCATATAGAACGTGTTGTAAAAGTTGAAAGAATGAGAAAGGCTGTACTTGAAGGGATCAATGTCGTGTTTGCACGACCACCAATGCCTATTGCACCAGGTAAAAATTTTATTATATATCAAATTATATTATTGCCTTTTTACATTCGCTATTCATATATATTTTATTTATCTACTGTATACATCCATTAAATTTGATGAAAATCCTCATAAAAAGTAATAGGTATCGATAAAACAATTGATCCAAAAAGTACGGGTACTTAAAGTCCTGAATCTCAAAATTGCTATAATTTTTATGTCTTTTTTTCTAATACAATAATATAATTTCCTTTTTCTCCCCATTGAAATAAGTATCAAACATGTATATTATCGTGTAATTGATAAAGAATGCAATATTATTTACAGGCATTCGTGTATCAGTACCTCAGAATATACTACCAGCTGGCTGTACAATTAATGATGGATTAATTCGTGGACGAGGCAATGGTACAATGCCACAACGTGGTCTAATGCGTCGCCCTATACCTTCACGCGGAGGACAATTGGAGATTGCTGGTGTTGTTGTTGGTCAATGGGGTCCCAATTATGGTCAACCTGGTCGATTGCCACAACCTATGCAGGGACATCCTCGGGGACGGCTTCCACCTCAGGTAGGATATACATATAATCGCAGTCTAACTATGATCCAATATCATTCTTTATACGTGGAAGAAGATTTTCCTGAAGACGAATCTTTGAATTCTTCTCAAAAAAATATTGAAGGGATTGCATAGATCGTTGTTCTCTATTTTGCAAATTTAATTTTTATTTAAATATTCAGAGAAAATTATTAAAGAGTACATCATGGATCTCTGTTTTTATGTTTTTACATAATTTTATTATAAACTATTTTGACAAAGGTGTGCTTTTCATATGTAGTACATACAATATTAAAATAAAGACATCTACATTATATCACACATGTATCTCAATTTGATGTCTTATTACACAATCATTTTTAACTGTTACTGATTAGTTATGACTAATTATACAAGATTTTCCTTATCATTGATACAAATAAATGACAAAAAATTAACAAACAATTTAAAGGTAAGTGTTATACGTAAAGGCTTTCTTCAAAGAGTCTTTTACAAATCTCTTCAATGTAAAAAATCAGAGATAAAAAAAAAAGAAAAAAAAAAAAAGAAAAAAAAAATTGAGATATTAATAATACAAGTAATTTGTTGTAGGTTACTTCAATAGGTGGTTTGAAGTATGGTTTACCCCGTGCATTCAATCCAATGGGAAGGCCAACTTTTCCAACACGCGGGAATAATCGTACACAAATAGCTGGACGCGGGAAGAAGACTCAGATGAAGGTATTATATTCCTAAATTAACTCTAGTTTCTAAAATAAATGTAAAGCTTTATTTTTAGGCAACCAGTAAGAAAAAAACTACTATAAAGAAGACTAAGGAGTGTGATAAGAAGGATAGCAAAGGACGAGGTATTAATGTGGATGGACTAAATGATTATATGTACGTTATTTATAGACCATGTTTTTTTTGTTTTTTTTTTTTGTTTTTTTTTTTTTTGTTTTTTTTTTTACAAAAGCACTATATACATGCACAAACACAGATTCATATACATACAGAATGTAATTGAATTATTTGTTATTTCAGAGATCCTGTAACAAGTATTAATACAACAAAAGAAGTACTGCCAGTACCTGGTCAATTTGATGATGCTGTGGAAAATGGTAAAACCGTCGAGAAGGGCCAGGGAGATGCACCACTTCCTACACAGGTAGTGGCTGAAAATTAGGTATTTATAATAACCACTTTTTCATGGACTTTAGACACTCCCGGATGCGACTCAAGACTGCAATATCCATATATTCAATCGGCAATTGTGCACTGTGAACTTTTGAAAAACTAATAATATTTACTTATAATGATATTTCTATATGTATTCTGAGAAAGTATTTTATAGTCGTACTCTGTAAATTTAATTTGAATTACAAAGATTAGTATAATTATTGCAATATAAGAATAAATTTTTTTTTTTTTTTTTTTTTTTTTTTTTTTTTAATTATTATTATTATTATTATTATTATTATTATTATTATTATTATTATTTTGTTTTGTCTTGTTTCGTTCTGCTTTGTTTACTTTTAAATGTATAGAATCTCTCAGTTGTATAAGAAAGTTAACGATACGGTAATTTAAAAAGTGATCAAGAATTCTCATATCGAATGAAAATCATATATTCATTATGTCAAGTATCCAGTGCACAATAGCTCGGTGTATCTATCTAAAGCTCTAATGGGGCCAAATTATTTAACTAATGTAAGTGACAAGACGTCTTTTTAAGGCGTCTCAAAGAGATATAGAAGATGGCATAAAGAATAACCAATTTTTGACATATACTATATGATGTCCTCACTGCCAAACATACCACTCTATGTAAAATAGAAGAAAAAAATCGTGCTTGTGCTAACGAGCATCTTTGCTCGCAATACCATGGGATGATGAACTCGACTGATTAGTGTATGCGTGCGCTAATTTTACTACTGAGAACAAGTTGTCAGCTGCTAAGTATTTAATTCTTAAGAAGTGTGATTATTTTTTTTACAATGAAAATATATATTTTCCGGTATTATATGAAATGCTTGCTTTGATGATCTCAGTAACCTAGCCTTTGATAAATGAATTTAAATTTAATGAAGGATATATCACGAGATGGTTTATTGACTTTTATAAGTAAATAGAAATAAAAGGTATAGGATACTGAGATGATTGTTTGCACATGGAGACTGATGCTTTTCATATAGGTAAAATATATATTTATATATGATTTAGATTAGATTCCCATAGCGTATTATACGTAAGTTGTGAATGTGAGATGTATGAATGTGGACATATACTTACGTAGAAAAGAGATTTATGAATGCGGTATTTATGATAGTGTTGGGGGAAAGTGTGGGAGAATGATGTATATAAGTGGGGGATGTTAGGTCATTGCATATATACGTGTATATATTTATATATATATATATATAAAATATAAGTCTCTATATATGTGCACAGGATGCATATATATATAAATATACACACATTATATATACGTTTATATGCAATCAAAATTATATATTTACTTGCTGTTGCATTGGAACTTATATGAATGAACGTACTCTATTGAATTGGAACGTTAAATGTAATAGTTTTTCTATTACACGTACGTAGCTTTTAAGCTGGTTATTAATTATAAGCGAACGAGTTTTTTCAAGAGATTAATAATATTATAAAACACGCTTTATATCTTTAAAAGATATGTTGCATTATAAAGAAGAAAAAGAGCAATGAATTGCTTTATATTAATGACATTTTTTGAACGACATAGTTTCTTTTTTCTTTTTTTTAAAAAAAAAGAAAAAGAAAGAAAAAAAGAAAAAAAATTTTAATTTTCATTGAAGTTTTCTTTCGCCCCTTTATATTAATTTTTATTAAGTGTTTGGACACACAAAACTCATTAAACAATGATTAATGCAAAATTATACGAGTGTCGCTTGTTGCTATTAAAATAAAAAAAAAAAAAATGTACTTGAGGTAGAAAAATCAATCAGATAGTATCATATAACCCAAGTACAAAAATCCTACACATCTATTGTCCTCCACACATTTACTATATTTAATGATATATATCATTTAATTGTACATATGAATAGTTATACTAGAAGTAATTGTGCGATCAATGTGGTGTACATACAAAATCCAGTTGCATGTGCTTATCATGCACTGAGTTAGAGAACATGATTATGTTATAAATATATTTATGAGTAGAATAGTCAAAAAGAGGGACATTCTACCAAAGAGCAGTGTTTAAGATGTGTTCTTTTATCAATAATGAAAGAATGGTGAGAAACAAGACAGCACGACAAAACACGATTATTAAATAAGGTGAGGCAAAAAGATGTGTGTCTAAGTGCAGAGAGATAATTAAAGCGAATAAGAAAAACCATTTATTGAGATAATATAAGAAGAGACGATAAAATAAAATGTTATATTTTTGTAGATTTGTTATTGCGTAAAATGCATTAAGACAATGAGAAACTTTATATAATTTGAATAGAATGACAGGGAGAGCGAGAGAGCGAGAGAGAGAGAGAGAGAGAGAGAGCGCGCGAGAGAAAGAGAAAAAGAGAGTTGATGAGCCTGTGGGATAAAATAAGTAAGATCTGGAAAGACAGATGTGTTTAGAAAAAGTGCTTTGGATGTGCATATTTAGAAATGACATCCATAAGTAAGCATTGCCGAAAAAAATCCCATATTCTCCTATATCTCTAACTGTTTAACTCTGACTTTTGGACAGCTTATAGAGATAGGAGAGAATGAATAACAGAAATGAATTATTATACAATGTCAGCTTCAACGTGCGCTGAGCATCTGCGAATAATTAACAGTTTTTCCGATGCATTTTGAATGGCACACACTTGCTTGGTTATTAAACTAATAAATGCGTTTATAGGTATATTTTATGACATATAAAATCTTACAGTTTCCATTAGCTAATATTATTTTACAATTGCAATGTAATGTATTGAAACATATGCATTACCACATTGTTTATCGCGCGCGCGAATTACAATTTTTAAATGAAGAATATTAATCATTACAAGTGACACGTACTAGAAGCAGACCTTCTGATCTGACAAACCAATTTGAGAGTAAATGCCACTTTACGCTTTCGTAAAGGTAGATGATTTTCTTTCCAAGAAATCAATCTCTTGATACCAGATACAAAATGTAAATGACACAATGATGTACACAACATAATCAGTTGCTGCTGCACTGATATGAGTATGCAATATAATAACATGAAATAATTTAATAAATACGAAGCAAATGCGGAAATCCATATTGAATACAACAGAATAGAAATGTCGGAAAAAAGAAACTTGCATAAAAGCATAATCAACGTTAAAAACAGGGGCGTGTTTAATACGTGCCTGCTTTTCGTTGTATAAGTAGAAAAAGGGGGCCCACAGAAAATGTCTATGATACAACATACCATTTAAACGAAAACAAAAAAACAAAAAAAACATACGAATAATCTACTATATTTATGAAGTAACCATCTATAATGACCTTTGAACATTGTGTGTTGTGATAACAGAAAATTAATTATACACAAAGTATAAGACTAACTTGGTATCTCTGCTAGAGTGACAAATGCTTTTGAGAAACGGTCGATGGTACGAATTACGCGATTAATGTCTGCAATCGATATTCAGACGAATTAAAGTAAGACTCGTATTTTTTATGGCTGTTTTATTCTTACGTTAACATCATATTTTTCTAGCGCAGATTATTGTCGCGACAGCCAGTAGGATTTCACAGATTAGCTTACTTGTATCACTAATATAATTATGCTCCTGATTCAGAAGAAAACAATCTCTTTTCTTTTTTCTTTTTTTTTCTTTTTCTTTTTTTTTTCTTTTTTTTTTTAATTTTTATTTTTATTTTTATTTATACTCAGTAGGTCTTTAGATATCGTTGAAAAAAAAAAACAAGAAAAAAAATGAAATCATTTAATTTTTACTTACTTTATTAAATGATTACCAAAAAAAAAAAATAAAAAAAGGAAATATTATTATCCTATTTTTCGCGTATTATAATATATACACCATGATGGGCATTGAAATATTGATGTTTCTCTTATTCTCTTAATTTGCTGTAGGATTGTATGAGTAGAGTTGCAATTTCTAATTGTAATTTAATAAATAATAATAGACAGAGAACAACTTTAATTAGTATGTTCCATTTGTAAATTTTAAGTTTTCTTATGTCATAGTTTTTGCTTACATATGCAATATTGAGATATAATAAAATATAGCGAACACGATATACTATAATAAAATAAAATAAAAAAAATTAAACACTTATTGATGTAGCTGAAAATGCATGTGGGCCCCATCATTATATATTCTTATTAAATATTACATAATGTATATTCTGCTATTATTTCTCATAGCTAAAAAAGATACATGCGCATATGCGAGGTAACATGTATGTTTGATAATCATTAGTATGTTTATTTTTGTTTTGCTTTTTCTTTGTATTTAAAAAATGTAACAATGTTTATATACATAAGCGCATGCCGCAAAGTGGTGGATAAAATGTTTTTTCGATTATGTCTAACGCGTAATATAAATTATGGGGTTTTTGCTATTTTGGATTTATCAAAGAAAACTATAAAAAGTTAAAAGATCCTCCTGAAAAAATAAGCATGCGCTGCTATATTGTTAGTAATCAATTAATTTTATCTTTATGGGTCGGTGAGTGGTTTCTGTTTTATGAAAGCAGTGACACTAATTTCATATATTTAAATTTGAATATGTAATGTTAATATTTGATGAATTGCTTGCGTTATATTTAAAATATTATGTCATTGCTAAACAGTGTCCGATATAATACTAAGTAGGATTATGCTTCAGTGATGGCAAATATAAATAATAACATCGATTCAGCGAAAGCTACATTTCAGAATGAATTATTCATTTTTAACTATTAAATATATATTTAAGAAACATATAGCGATTATTGCTACATAGCCGACCCATTTAGTATCTTTGCATTTATATAACACAATAATATTGATGTATTCTTGTTGAATTATTCTATCTTGTAACTTAATATTATAACATGTACCCCATTCATGTCTAGTGTCAAGCAGAGCTGATTCTATGCTTTTGCTAGCCGAAGAACTGAAAACTAAGTACAGAAATTTAAGTAATCACGTTTGTATGCTGAAATTCTGATGCTTTTCTGTAATTCCAATTCAAAGGATAAAGTGAAATAAGAATCAGTGCTGACGAGAACACAAGGCAATTAAAAATTATTATAAAGCTAAAATCACATTTACTACTTTAAAAGTGAATACATATTTGGGAAGTAGGAGATAATAATTATATAAATGTAGTGGCAACTCTATAATACTACAAAAAAAACAATGTATACAATGATTATTCGAAATATTAAAATGCAAACGCACTTTGATGGATGTTGTAACAATTTAGAATATTCAAATTACATTAATATTTGCTTTGTAAATCTGCGCTCTTTGGAGTATGCCGCTCTGCTAATCAAGATTATATTTGATGCATCAAAACAATTTCTCAAACAAGTAAACATTTTTTATGGCAGAGTGGCTCTCGTCTCCACTGGCAGATATTTTAAGTTCATTTCTTTTAAAAATATTAACCATATAATTTTCTTGTATAATGTAACTACACAACACACACACGCAGAGAATAGAATGATAAGATACATAGATCCTCCGTTGGGTTAAAAAAAAGCTTTTCAACATAATGTATGGTTCATACAATGAAAAATTGAACCTTCAACAAGTTTTGTAAGAAAGCTCTTAGCACGAGAGGTTCTTGGATATGGTTGGCTGACATTTTCGAAAGTTTAATGATTTATTGAAACGTGTTGTCATGTCTTGAATATAATTAAAAGAACTATAAAAATTCTATTAATAGCATATCATTGTTTTATATACCGAATATGTATATTTATTTTAATTATTTTTATGCATAATATTTCAGCAAGTCACATAGAAAGGTAAGTGATAAGAAATACAAAAAGTTACCATGTTTTAATACTTATAAATCTACATATTTATTATATTTTTCTGAATGTGGCAAATACATCATTTTTTTATGGTATATATTATCATCCTAATGTATCTTTTAAAGGATATATAGATAAATCACTTTTGAAATTATCAATATCTGTAATATATACTTCTGATGACTTATTGGCTTTAGTAACTTTATTATTTAAATAGTTCAACTTGTATGTAATCTTATTATCACTTTCTAATTTAGACATATCTGTAAAAAAAAAATATATATATACACATATAATTGTAGATATATGATTTTGCTAATCCATACTGTGACTAAATATCTGTATACGTACCTTTCTTTTCGTCCAAAGTTTGTTCTTTATTTCCTATTATATGAACACTTAATTTTTTAAGGTTGTCCCCATTAATAGTATGAGAAGCTATCCAATTTCTTAATTCTTCAATTTTTATACTATCTATAGCAATTATTTCTTTTTCCAATCTGTCAAATACGTAATCACAATTTGTGATTTCAGACCAATTTCTGTCAACTTCTTCTTTCAAATGAATATCAGCACATTGTTTTATTTTCGTTAATGCTTCTTTTATGGTTTCTAAATCTTTTTCTGAAGTCTCCTTTAATAACTTGTTGAATGATTTTAAAAATTTTTCGATTCTATTATCCACGTGCTCTGTCGAATGCTTATCTGCTTGGGTATACACAGTAATCGAGTAACCAAGAATGCCATAAGTATTTCTCATAAGACACGAAACATCATATCCAAGCTGTTCTTGTGTTCTAAGCTGATTAAATAATGGTTCCTCCATAATCATCTAAATATGCAAAAGAAATAGTTAATGTAACTTTTATTTTCTCTTTTTAATATAACAATCTAGATACTTACAAGAAGCAGTTCTATGATAACAGTCAATTTGATAGACGATATACCCGATTGATAATAATTCGTCACTACTGAATTAACATCCATCTTGTTAAAATTTTGTACTTTACAATATTGTATTCCCGTGGGCAATTTTGTAACTCTCAATTGAGGCATAGTGTTCGATAACAATGGACCACATTTTAAAATATCAATGCAATTTTGTATATTTTTAATGACATTTTCTTTTGTCATATTGCCTTGTACAAGACATTGTATGTATGTATGCTTGGTAAATTGTTCGATAAAAGTTTGAAATTCATTAAATGTAGTACCAGAGATAGCTGTATGTCTATCGACAGCAGGCCAATGATCGAGCATTAATATGGACAATCTTACGTCCCTATAAAGTTTTATATGAAAAATTAAATACTTATACATTATAACTTCATAATTTATAATGGAAGATAAAAAAAAAAAGGATATGTACTTAGCTAATTTTGCTGGCTTTACAAATGTATTATAATAAGCTTTTAACTGTTCTTGTTTCATAACATCAAATAGATCTTTCGTTATAAGATTTGGACTATTTGCTATATATTTTGCACAAATATTTAATAAAAGCTGTAAACATGTGTGTGATATGTATATTATTACATTTTAATAACAATTACAGTCAATTTATGATAAAAATTGATGAATCAAATAAGATATACTTACTGGGAGTTTTTCATTAAATCCACTAACTTTAACAACAATACCCTTTTGACCCGTATACATTTGATGTTTAAGTTCAGCTGCTGTAGCTGGATATAATTCTTCAACCAATAATTGTTTTAATATTTCTATAAATAAATCCATCAGAGCAACACTAAAAGATTAATGATAAACGAATGATCGATTATATCAAAGGGATAAAATTTATATAGTAAAAATAAATAAATATTTCATGTAAAAATGTTTCTTACTTTTTAGCTGACGTTGTTAAAGGAGATATAATATAAAAGTACATGTAACATTCGGGTAAACCAAACTTTGGATCAGGCCTGTACCAAATTTCAGATATATCATCGCTATGTATTTTAACAGGATATTTAGGAACATCCGAAATAACAGGTATTAAGCTAAAGTCGTTTGTAAGAAAAATGTTTGGTAATGGCAAGTGGAACTCTGGCAATGGAGTTATTGTCTTCCAAGTTTCAGTCCATTCTGTGGGTATATCCATGTCGGTATATTTTGTTTTAAACCAAGGTTCCACTTTATCAAATTCTTCATCATTAAATTTCTTATCAAAGATGATAATATTCACATTATCAGGAGATAAATAATCCATGCACATTTGTATTGCCTCAGGATTATAGTCAAAGTAAAGTTCGCTACCAGTAATGTAATCTTCCGGAGGGAAAAAGTGCATATTCTCACTCAATTCTTCTACATAATCTGCAGGTGCTACTTCATCCGTAAATCTATAAACAATAGAGAATATAACACATAAACGCATTGATATATTCTATTTAATGAAATTATTTTTATATACCTAAAGTTAGTCTCTTCAATCTGAGCAATTTCATCGTAAATTCGTTTTTGCGGGCCTTCCTTTCGCATTAAATTAATATATGAGAAGATA